AATTAATACAATTATGTAGAATATTCGAAATGTAATATTTATTATGAGTCTTAAGAAGAAAGAATGCGCCAATAAAAATAGAAATTTGCATAAATCCGCAATCTGATTATAACTTAATACGCACGCTATCTATCATTTAGAGACAATTTAGTTTCAGCCGAATGTTAATTTTTAATTTCTGATTATAATTAGTACCTCTTGCCAACTATAGCTAATCTTATTATCAACTGATGGTCCCTAGCTTTTAAAATAGTAAATCGACAAAATGATTCTGAAATTTCAAAATATATGAACGTGTATAAAATCAGATCAGTAATGATAATAACGTTACTGTCAGAAAAAGTATCTGAAAATGCAAAAATTTAAAATTACAAGAGGCGATAGTAAACTTTTGATTCCAGTTATTGATAATCTTCAAAAAGCAAAAGATTATGCTGCAAATAGAGTTGGAAAAAAATCAAAACAAGATTTTTACAAGATTATGAAGATGATTGCCGTTTATGAATCGAAGGCAAAGGAAACCACGTGCTTTTCATTTTCTAAATTCTTCGCGAACGTTGAACATGAGGCATTGAAAATTTCTTGCTTCAGTACGCAATCGTTACAATGTTACCACAGTAATTATCTACTTCCAAATTGAACACGTTTTCATAGGGGTCTTATAACGACTTCATAATGACTTTTACTAATCCTGGTATCTGAAATATCAATTTCTCAACGAGTTACCGGCTGTATTAAAAAAGACATTCCTTGCACCGACTCGAATGAGAGAGAAATTACGCGTTTATGCAAAAATTTCGCAAAATTTCAATTGTTTCACTGCCGTTAATAATCTAAAGATTATTGCATTACAGTTTTCAAATTAAATATCATACAAGAGAGTAAATGTTAATCAATTCGTATTTCGTAAACGTAGTATAATCTACTCTTCGTTTCTGGAACATATCCAATTTTCTTTTCGTTCGAGACAGCAAGAATATGCTTGAATATGCAAATACTGTTGCTGGATTATGCAAATAAATTCGGTAGTCCTAACACATCGATTAATAGGAATCGATAGGTCAAGTAATAAATGAATTATCCTACTACTGTTTCGCAACTAAAAACTGGCACTTGGTACGTAAAACTGCGACCCATTCTCTTGGCATCTAAAACAAAGCTATTGTGTAATGAATTTTTCTCGTGATGAATGTTAAATGGCTTCCGGTTGGAAGAAGGAATTTTCTGACAATAATTTTTTTAAGATTCGTCGTGAAAAAATTCATTAGATTCGTCGCAATTGAACCTTTTTATAGATAACGAGAAAGAAAATAAATCATAATTTTGAAAAAAAAAAGAAGATTCGATAGAAAGAAGGAATTTTTCGGTCGCAACTTTTTAAGATGCATCACAAAGAAATTATTGAAATTTTTATTAAATATCAAGAAAAAAAATCACGATTTTGAAAAAAAAGAAAATTCAATAGAAGAAACTTTTAAAATGCATCCAAAAAAGTTAGACGTTTCTTGAAAGATGAAGAAGAGTATGAAATATTAAGAAAATGAATCACAATGTTGAGAGAAATTCAGTTGGAAGAAAGAATTTTTCGATCGAAAATTTTTGAGCCGTGTCGCGAAAAAATTCGTCAAACGTTTTTTTTTTTTTTTTCAAATACCAAAAAAACAAGGAAGAATTTTCGAGAGAACGAGAGGAATGAATTCAGTTGAAAGAAGGAATCTTTCGATAGCAACTTCTTCTTTTGACTCTTTTTCTTTTCCACTATTGTCCTTGAGACTCGAACGCTACAAGAATCGCAGGCTCGCGGCGCATGATAACCGCGCTGATAATAGAAACCTCGTTGAGCGACGGCGCGTTTAACAGCGAGACACAGATTCCTTTATATCCGTGCCAAGGATATCGCGGAACGCTCCACCCTGCGGTTCCTTCGTTGAACGAAGAGCGAGGATAACGCGACGGTTTCTTGTTATTCGCACTCGAGAACACTCGCGTCGCCGATTTTCCTACTTGTTCCTCCGTTTCGTTCACGACTCTGAAATCTGCCACCGATTTCAGTCCAAGTCGGGATAATATCTTCTTCTGGAATTATTGCCTGCGGGGAAGATCGTTCGACTCGTTCGGTTATTAGAGAGATCGACAGCAGATCTTTGGACTTCGGGATGGGAATGAAATCTGAAGCAATTTTCTGATTCTCTTCCTTGAATCGTCGGAGAGAAAATGGACGGGACAGGAGGGAATAAAAGATTGAAGTTTCTTTACGAATTGCAGTGTATCATCTCGAAACTGAGACAAACACTGAGGTGAATTATCGAAAGAATTGACAGACGACAGTCTGATAAATGAATATTATTGACAGAATTTGACGCGAATCACGTAAGAAATTATTGAAAAGATAAATAGAAAGAATGTATCAGTCAACGAATAAAAAAATGCATTTCTCTTGGTGCAGAGTATTTTCGTAGTAGTTGTCATTTTTGATAGAATAAATCGATACGAACGTGATATGAGCAAATTGATATTACTGATAAATCCAAATATTTGGAATTCCGATTTCCTCGCGGATGGAACGTGATTATTGAAGAAAAAAAAAATAAAAAAAAATTAAAAAAAATGAAAGAGACCTATCTAGTAAACTTTTAATTTGATGCTCACAAATAAAATTTAAAAATAAATGGCGACGATAACAGAGTATACAATATTTTATTTCTTTGTACAGTCCAATCTGACGAGAATAATTCCCTTTTTTCTAAAAAAAATTTCTCTCGGAAAGATTCCTAAATACTCCGTGAAAATAACGTGCACTAATCGCTGGATTTTTGACAAACGTGTTGCTCTTTTGTTCTCACAAATTTCGCCCGAGATACATCGTTATCGTTTTCGCGAAATTTCGTTTTGATGTGTGGAATAACAAGTATCGTTTTGGCGTGTAGAATAACAAGGAGATACCCGGTATTAAAAGGGATTCATTAAGGGATACATAACATCACGCAAGGGAAGAGAAAAACGACGACGACGAAGAAAAGGAACGACGTGCAAGTCGCATTCAAGGAAGATCTCGTAGCATAGAAAAATAGTGCTCGTTAAGCCATTCAATTTTCCCGCTCCGCTCGGAAAAAAGCTTCAGCTCGTCCCAGTTTACAGAATCGTCCTGTACAATTGCCGCGTTTCAAACGACGAGTAACATAAATCACTTCGAACAGGAAATTGTGCTCGTTTCTTTTTTTTTCCTTTTTTTTCTATCTTTCCTGCGTGCCTCTTCTCTTGGACACAGTTGCTTTAAAACGATTAAAGAATCGCTTTTTGTTTGAGCGATTTTATTGCAGCAAACAGATAGAATAATGACACCATAACGTTAGTGATACGTTACACACATTCCTGCCTGAAACCTTGGGGTACGTTACAGTCTCAGAAGAAGTAACGTGAATAAATTAAGTAAATCGATGTTTCATTCACGATATCACTAGTTTAACTCTCGATTTTAGTTTAATAGTTGGAGTTTATAGTTATAATAGTATATAACTATAATAGTATAGAGTTAATAGTTGGAATTCAACTTACGTATCAAATGTCAGAAATAAAATTTTATTTCTAAAATAAAGATAAGATTTCATTTTTATCGTTGTTGTTAGAAACATGATAAAGAGACATTGTATAAATCTTTAAATGATAAACATAATACGATTATTATTCAGAGCATTGGAACCGTAATTATATTTATTTAGAGTTGAAATTAAAATTGTAACGCGTTTCTATTTCTCAGGGAAATATGTTCGAGAAATTTTTTATTTAATCAGTGATCAATGTAAGAATAAATTCTCCGATATTTACTGATATTTATAAATATTTATTATTTATTAATATTAATTCTAAAAAATTGAAGAAACTTCCGTAAATCAACTCTGTCCCAGAATGATCCAACTGCATAGAATCTTTCGATTTATCTCGCAGTAAGTTTTCTTTTCTAATTTCGTTCCTTCTTTCGTTTCAATGAATATCCACCGTGAGATTTCGGTAATATACATCGCAATCGATGATCAATATAAGCACGAAATAAACCGCCGGTTGAAAGAAGCATTTGAAAAATCGCCAGCAATCCGTGGACTTTTCGATTTGCATCGCCACTCCATAAATATTTTAAGCGAAATGTATTTCCAATGGCGCGGTTGCCATTCACAAAGGAAGGAAACGAGTCGGGGGGAACATTATTCAAGGCTTTTCACGCATTGATGGGAAGAAATAAATTTCTTCTTTTCGACACGAAACCAGATTGGAATCGAGTCGAACGCGAGTTACGCGACGATTTAAAGCGGCGCGATTTCTTTGCCGATTCTCGGAGTCATTAACGCAGAAAGAAAATAACACATCGAGACAACTGAAAGTTTGATGGAAACTACATCGCTGTTTCGAACGGTTTCTAGGAGATTTCAACCGATCGAGTTTTCCCCGAGAGCGAAATATTAGGTGGACGGTACGAGCGTTTGGTAAATTTGACGAGGACGAGAATCCGCTTACCAACCTCGGCCAACTGTGCATTTCGTTTCAGCTTTCCTTCGCTTTCCACATTTTTTTCTTCTTTCCTCGTCATTGACGTTCAGTTTTTCCATAGTTTATAATTACATGATTATCATATATTTCCATAATTTATAATTTTGTCGGAGAGAAAGAATCGAAGACTATTGGGATAGTATATATATATATCAAATTACCGAAATCAGTTTTTCATTTAATCTCTGGATGAAAAATATTTCTACTCCCTTTCGTGTCTTTCTTTATAATTTAGAAAATGTTGCCTGTCTTATGTGTTCTTGTGGTATAATATAATACTCCTACATGTTGACAACAATATAATACTCCTACATATGACATACTAATCAAAAGATTAGAAAAAATTAGAGGAACCGTGACTTCATCGAATGAAATTTAGTTTAGATTTCGTGGACATTACCGATCATTTAACCTTGCGATTAAAAGGCAAGAAAGAGGAGAATCGCGGAGTTTCTTACCTGTGAACGACGTTGGCCAGCAGATCATTGTGCCGTAATCTGTAATCGACATCCACTTTCTGATAGTTGACCGTCAAAGTACCGGCGCGGATGCAACGTTCGTACTCTTCCGCTGGATGTGCCCGAAATTCTCTGGCGAACACTTCGAGGATCTTCTCGCCCACCCATCTTCCCTTCGTGAACGTAGTGAAGGTAAAGTAATACGGGTACACTTTCCGGAGACCTGCGGAACAAGCAATTAAATTTCAACAAACAGGCAATGAAATCAAACAAACAATTAAATTCACCTTCGCATGGAGATTCCCCTTTAAATTATGATAATATTATGTAAATTGGATAGACAGATCGTTAATTAAATTTTCATCAATTTAACTCGAATTAAATTAGGATTATTATTATTGTTATTATTGTACTACACACATGTCCGTGTGTGTTAACTGCAAAGGACAATGTGAGTCAGTTTTTTTGTTCGTTAGAGAAATGGTCCAAAATATAACTGTACGATGACTCACGTAAATTTCGACGTAACATTCTTTTTTCATTACTTCTGTCGAATTATTCTGCTGAACTTTTACTTTATCGTTCAGTATTTAGAAATATTTCAAACTTTTACGATTCACGCCACTTTTTCACTAGACGATTTGCATAATATTACTATGCTCGGAAGAGCATTTCAATTTACCACGTATTACGAATATTCCCAAAGAAAATGGTAAAATTGTTTTCACGAAACAAGACGTAAGAAGCAAAATTTCTTTTGTATCGTACTTTTTTTTTAGTATCGAAACATTTTTCATATTCTAGAAATCTTGACAAAAATTTGAGACAAAAAAAGTCCTCGAATAATTGACATTAATTCAAATAAAAGACGACTGCACAAACTCGATCGATGACATGTAAAATCATTCGTCCGAAAATAATTTCGCACAAAGATCGAAAGGTAGCTCGGCAGCCTGATATCTTGATTAATCGACCATTCATTAATTCATCGTCAAGTCTGCATTACCATTTCGGCACACCTCTTTACCGCGATCTTTATCGAACGATCGTTCACCTTCCAGCAACAACGATAAATCACGTCCCTTCGGCCACGTACATATTCCTCGCAGCTCTGAATCAACGATCTCGCCATGTAAATTTCCGAACTTATACAGAAATAAACCAACTTCGTCCCATCGAGCAACCATCCGTGTGATCCTCCGCTTGATCTCTCACAGGCGTGATTCATAGCTGCCGGAACGCTCAAGGAAATCGAATTGAAAACGTTCTCGGCACGGAGGAAGTTCTGTTAAAGCGGTGACACGTACGACGAGCGTGTACAACAGGTGCAACGTGAAACGCTTCGAACCCGAGTTTCGAAAGCGATACAACTTCGTTGGGGTTTCGAAGATTTTTGTACCACTTTTTCAGCGGATGTCGGCACGATGACTGACTTTGGACAAAGTGGTTCGCGTTTCAAGAATTGTAAATTAACACGTTGACTATCACCGACATTTCGGTTCCTAGAAATGTCTCAGAATGTTCCAAATAAGACGAATATCATAGACAAATGTTAATGAATTGTAAATGTTACAAATAACCAGATACATAATCTAATATTATAAAACGAGGCATGATATTATAAATTGAATTAAATTCAACGAGTGGTGTAATTTCGTTGGGATTTTAAACATTAATGTCAATAGATATTGGTACGTTTGTTGGTTTCAACAATTGAAAGAAAATAATAAATTATTTTAGGAAAATAATAAATCGAATAAAATGAATATCATGGGCAAACAAATTATAAGATACCACAAATAATTAGATAATACTATGAAATGAAATAGCTGAAACTGAATTTTGAACAAGTGGCACACTTTCGTTGGAATTTTAAAAGTTTTTATACTACCGTCAGTAGATGTTGATTATTGGTGTTGAACAAAGTGAACTAATTCAAAGTGAGATTCAATAATTTGAAGAAAATAATACATTAACAATATATAGTACCAATATATAGTACACGTGGTATGTGAAATTCATTTAGGTCTTTTAAAAGTATCCTTTTTTATTCATAGTCACACTATAAAACGATAGTATCGTATAATATTTTTATAGTCTATATTTTTTATACTATTATATATTCTATATTTTTTATACTATTATATTCTATATTTTTTATACTATTATATATTCTATATTTTTTATACTATTATATTCTATATTTTTTATACTATTATATATTCTATATTTTTTATACTATTATATTCTATATTTTTTATACTATTATATATTCTATATTTTTTATACTATTATATTCTATATTTTTTATACTATTATATATTCTATATTTTTTATACTATTATATTCTATATTTTTTATACTATTTTATAGTATACTATTATACTCTATATTTTTTATACTATTTTATAGTACACGATACTAGTTTATACCATAATTAGTTATGTCAGTAATAAGAAAACGAATTCACCGTATAATAGCAAGCGAGTAAAATGTCTTTAAAAAAACATCAGTTCTTCTCAATTTTCTTCAATGCCGTATAAAAAGAAGTCCAGATGCACGTGAAAATTTCACAAACTTCCAACATCGACAGTAATTCTTTTTTGAACGCAACAAGCTGTGCTCTTTTGTTTACGATCCAATAGAATCGTTGAAAATTTTCAATTTTTTCAATTCGATTCAATTTAAGAACAGTTTCACAAAACTAGGCGAGTTGCAATGCCCAGGGAATATCTTTACGTAATCAGAAACAGAAACGGGTGAACGTATGCACGTGCAACGCGTTCCAATTCACCGCTGCGATCCTGTTATTATTATGTATAATCTTTAAATAGTGACGCGATTGTTTCGCAATTAATTACAAATTGGCACAACGGCCAGAGGAGTCGGCGAAAATAAAGCCGGACGACATCGTCGCCAATCGTGTAAATCACAATAAAATCCGGACAGCTGGCCATGATTATTCTCTCTCTCTCTCTCTCTCTCTCTCTCTCTCTCTCTCTCTCTTTTTCTCTCTTTGTCCGGCAATAGAGACGCGACGGCACTTCACGTCCGATGAAAACGCGCCTCGAGCGTTTTCGTCCGCTGTCCATCCTTCTTGGCCCCGCAACATCGAAGTCTGGATTTCCAAGGATTATATTTCGCCTGATAAAACTGCCCGAGAGCCGTAGAGAAGTTCGAGCGTGCGACAACAGGGGAGAATTGATTCTTTGGGCGGACAGGGTTGATCGAGGAATGGCTTTGAATATATTTGCCTTCGATAAGGGCACACAGCTCTCAAGACTTTTGGATACTGTCATTTTATTTATTTATTTTCTTCCGTTTTCGTTCTTTCATTTGCATTCCCTTCATCTACTTATTTATCTCTTCATTGTCAATATTTAATTATATTAATATTTAATATTTATAATAATATTTAATAATTTGATATTTAATATTTGTAATAATATTTAATAATTTGATATTTAATATTTATAATAATATTTAATAATTTAATATTTAATATTTAATAATATTTAATAATTTGATATTTAATACTTAATAATATTTAATGATTTGATATTTAATAGTTAATAATATTTAATAATTTGATATTTAATATTTGTAATAATATTTAATAATTTGATATTTAATATTTAATAATATTTAATAATTTAATATTTAATATTTAATAATATTTAATAATTTGATATTTAATACTTGATAATATTTAATGATTTGATATTTAATATTTAATAATATTTAATAATTTGATATTTAATATTTAATAATATTTAATAATTTGATATTGAATATTTAATAATATTTAATAATTTAATATTTAATATTTAATAATATTTAATTATATTCTTTTCACTTTTGTCTTCAATAAGGACACAGTTCTCAGGACTTTTGGACACCGTTATTTTATTTATTTATTTTCTTTCATATTTGTGTTTCTTTCATCTATTTATTTATCTCTTCATTGTTAATATTTAATTACTTCTTACTTAATATATGTATTTCCTCTTACCATATTTTTTAGTTGAGTTTATTCATTTTATTTCACCAAATCAATAATTTGATTTATCTTCCCCCTTTACTCTATTCCTTTAATTTTATTTGGCAAATTTCTTTCTCTCTCTTTGCTATGTTTATTTTTCGTTTATTTCATTTTTCTTCCTCCGTTATTTTTCTCTCCTTTCTCTCTTTGGGCGGAAATTGAAAGTGCCAAAGAAAAACGAACATGCCCCGAGGACGAGGAATTTGATTTTCTATATATTTTAAGTGCACGCCGCGCGATGCGTTTGCATGCGATATGCAAATTTCAATAGGATCGACGAGAAACGCAAGCGTATCCCCTCGATTTAACTCCAAATTACCGTATTAATAACATCGTTGTTTATCATCGTTTCAATAACGATTTAAACGAACAACAATCCCCCTTTCGTCCCCCATGACGGAAGTTACAATAAATATTAAACGATTATGCATACCGTGTTATAATTGCGGGCGTAAACCTAGCGAATTAGCACGACAAATTAACGTGAACTAGGTACTCCATTCGACTATTCGTAGACGGTATAAAATAAATAACAAAAGAAGCATAGAAGATAACGCCTTCTTACTATTGATAGTTGACTAAAAAAAGATTCGTTCCACAATCTGGGAAGAATTTGCTTCTGAGAGGGTTAATAGACATCAGAAGACCGATGAAAATAAAACGATTTTGTCCGATTAAGAATACAGAGCGATTAATCATCAAGTGTCTAATAGACGACTAAAATTGTAGTATATTTGATTTTATGTTATAATTAATTCTTCGTAGTAGTTTACGACTAGGACTAATTTGTCAAAAAATCCTGAGATATCTACTAAATTCTCTCTCTTTGATATACAATTGGTCTTCGAATCAAATATTCGAAGGAATAATTAGCAAAGATAACAATACACTTCGAAATTTGATATTGAACACAAACGGCGTTTAAATTTATGTTCGATGCTTGCCGAGGCTTAAGACCAGTAATCAAATTCAATTAAATTAGAAGTTTCAAGATTCAGTGATCCGAAAACTGTTGCAACTTCCAGTGTCCAGTGACACTAATTCGGAGTTAATCAACTATTAACAAATTATTTCGGCCAGAATCTCATCAAACGCGTTTATTTCAAGAACTAGTTGCTCGTTTCGTTTGTCGCGAAACACGTTCACGGGAGAAAATGACGTAAAAACCGTGAAAAGAGGAA